CTAGAAACAAGTGAATAAATAACCCTTCACAGAGGTAAGCAGGAAAGAAAACTGTCTAGAAGAGGAGAAAAGCTCTCCTGAGAATTTATAGCCACTGGAAGGTTCAGACATGGATTTAGTATCAAAATTTATACTGTTTCTGTGGTTAAGGAATATCATACACTAAAATTCTTCATTTCTGGACTCATTTAAACTCGACTCAGGTCTGTAATGTCCTCATACCCATGGCAGAAAGAAACACAAATCCTCCCTTGAGGAATGAATTTATTCTTCCCAGTTTCTAATATCAATACACTCTCTATTTTAGTCTGCCTGGGTTACCAACTGATGTGGTGCACTCTGCAGTTTTTGTGTGGAGTATTCTATATATGTCTGTTACATCTCATTGCTTTATAATGTCCTTCAAGTTCTCTATTTTCCTTTCCTTTTTTTTAAATTGAGGTATAGCTGATTCACAATATAAGCTTCAGGTGTACAACATAGTGATTCAAAGTTTTTAAAGGTATATTCCATTTATAGTTATTATAAAATATTGGCTATTTCCCTGTGCTGTGCAATATATCCTTGTAGCTTATTTATTTTATACATAGTAGTTTGTACCTCTTACTCCCCTAGCCACTATATTGTCCCTCCCTGCTTCCCTTTTCCCACTGGTAACCACTAGTTTGTTCTCTATATCTGTGAGTCTGTTTCTTTTTTGTTATATTCACTAGTTTAGTTTTCAGATTCCACATATAAGTGATATCATACAGTATTTGTCTTTACCTGAAAGTCCTCTATTTTCTTATTGATCTTCTGTCTAGATCAGATGTTTTGCCCATTACTGAAAGTGGAGTATTGAAATTTTCAATTATTATGGTAGATCTATTTCTCCCTCAGTTCTATCCATATCTTCACATATTTTGACTAGGATTTGCTTGGTTTCTGTAAACCTTTGACTGTTTCCAGAGTTCTGGCAAACTTATTTCAGGTTGTTTCTGCTTATTTTCAATGTTTCGTGGAGGGACAGAGGTGTGGAGCTGCCTACTCTACCATTCTGAACATGGGTCTCCCAAGGTGATTTTTTGACAGAGTTCTCATCAGAGCAGAAAAAAATAAATCTGTTTTCTAACAGGGCATATTTATAGATATGGACATAAAAGCTGAGTTTCTCCAGTAGAGGCTTGAAGCCTCATTCCCTGCATCTATTCCTCCATTTCATGTTGGTCCCTGAGTTCTCCCTGAGGAAACATGGAGCTCCATGAAACACAGTTTGAAAAACACTGTTATAAATCATTATAATCCCCTGATACTTATGTGCCTAGTACCTGTGATCTGATGTTAGAAATATTTAAGTAATCATTTTGACCTAGACTTATCTCTTGCTTGTTTCCTAACTTATTTCAAAAAACTTTCTTCCCATCTTCCCAACTTTGTGAAAAAGCACAAAGAATAAAATGTTCTGTCATTCCATCTCCCAGAGTTAACTGCTGTTAACATGTTGACATTTCTCACACTTATAAAACAAGTGTAATTCAGGTTAATATTTTATATATAGCAGTTATCACCTGGGCCTCCATTTGCTTAACACTGTTATTCTAGCTCACACCTATGTCAATATTGTCATGTCTACTCTTGGAAACCTATTACATGACTTTATGAGAGAAGACATGTCATGTATTGACTAACCTTTCAATCTGCACCCTCAATGACCAACCCGCCAACACCTTTCAATAAAACAAAGGTTGATTGCTCTATTGGTTAGCATAATGAGACTTCAAGGCTGTGGGTTTTAACATCTTTGTCCTCTATGACTACCAATTAAGCTTGGCCATATTGAAGTTGTTTTTAAACTTCAAAATGCAGCAGAATGCCCTCTTTATTTTGAAATAAAATATTTTATGAAACCCCAAAATATAAAATAAACAAAACTGAGCTCTTAAGGTTGAAGTCTGTATGTGTGCGAGTAGGTAGGGGGAAGAGGGTAGGCAGTTTATTCACAGCAAATCCTGCTTAGCCTTCCTAACATCCCAACCATGATGCAGAACCCCAGGGCTCTGGGACAGAGTGTTTGAATATCCCATATCTGTGAGATGTCCTCAGCCAGTCCTTCTAAAGAATTGGATGACTATTGCATCTGTATCTCCTATGGCTCCTCAGATAGTGCCTGACACACAGTAGGCATTCAAGGAGTATTCACTGAAATAAAAGACATGAAATCCAAAATGGGGGAATGGATTAGTGTATATCCATTACTGGTACTTGAGAAAAATCTCAGAAAGTATCCTCACTGACAGTGGTAGATCAGTAGTGGTAGATCTCAGTGGTATCATTATACTACTGTGTTACAAAAGAGATAATTAAGATTGTATTAGTGGCTGCAGAATACAAGAAACATAACTGAATAAATATTTAATTTCTTCCACATTCAAGGTACGGTTTGAGAGACTATAGAGGCTGCAAAGACGGTAAAAATATAGGATAGGTAAAATATCCTGAAGAATATTTAATACTCTGATAGGGGAGATAATTTACATAAAATTTTGCTACAAAGCAAGCCAATGTACCAAACTATGTCAAGAAAATTTCAATGTTTTTTGAGCTGAAGGTAGAGAAGTTTTGAAAAATGACCAGTAGACACCTCATCAACAGGTGGCTGTTACAGAATGTAGAGGGTAATTGATGCAGAAGAAAGGCAAAAAACTATGGGAACAAATACTCACTGCATAATTTTCAGAAGATAACTCTCACCCTAAGAAGAAAGCATGACATATGAAGTAGTTGGAGATGAGTTAAATGTGAACTTTTTTGCAATTGGTGTGTTAAAAATACTGAGAATGGAGAGATGAACGTGAACTGTAGCGAGGGAAACTTTCTGAAGTTGGCAATTTGAACTGAAAAAGGATGGGAAGGATTAGGATAGGTGGGGAAGCATTTCAGTTTAATGAAGACAACATGTGCCAAAGCCTAAAGGCCAAAAGGAGAAGAGTTTCCATGAGGAAGAAGAAGAAATCAATCTGGCTGGAACAACGGGTGTTTGCTGGGCACCAGGTTGGCTGAGTGGGGTGGAAACATTAATAGCGGGAGCTGCTAAAGGTCAAGATGAAGATAAAAGAGAAGCTGCGGGATTCCCTGGTGGCGCAGTGGTTGAGAGTCCGCCTGCCGATGCGGGGGACACGGGTTTGTGCCCCGGTCCGGGAGGATCCCACATGCCGCGGAGCAGCTGGGCCCGAGGGCCATGGCTGCTGAGCCTGCGCGTGTGCTCCGCAACGGGAGAAGCCACGACAGTGAGAGGCCCGCATACCGAAAAAAAAAAAAAAGAGAAGCTGCAACAAATAGCAATTAGTTTTGATGACTGTACAACTCTCAAAGAAAACTATCATAGGTATGTAAAGTAGTAATGATGGAAAAGCAATAAGAGAAATGAAAGTCCTAAGGATATTGAGGTGGCCTGAGATGTGGACAGTGAAATAGATTACCCAGAGAATTCGACAGCTTGAATAGAATCCAGGGTGACAGAGATAAATCCTCTGAATTGACGGTAAAGTTGCACCGGTGTCAATTAAGAAAACCAGTTTCTGATTTTCTACTGTAAGTTTAATGGTGAGCTCTGGGGTGCAGCTGAGGATCAGGTGACCCTGTCATTTGATGGGGTACTGTCCCTCAGAGGGGTAAAAATATACCCTCTGAGGGTGCTGGGGTCTAGGGAGATTGTTTTTTAAGCTTTTCTTTCTCTACAGCCATTAGAAATAGAAAACAAGAGTATTCATAACAGAAGACACCAGAGTCACTATAACCCCCCCAAACAGTTCACACAAATGTTTTCTCCTGTTAATCTAAATTCAGAAAGAGAAAAAGACAAGAAGAGACTCTTACCATTCTCGTTTATTTGATACTACAGGCAGAAATCTGGGAGACTAACCGGTCGAATTCTCATCTTCTGCCGGCTTATGTTAGAGGTCCCAGGATCTGTCACCAGCAGCAGCCCTGGAGTGAGCAGTGTCCAGTTAGTGACATCCATCCTTGATACCAGAATTGTGGGCAAGGAAATGTTCTCTACCACACTGTCCCTTGCAGGACTCCAAATGGATTTCACAGTTTTACCTCCAGCTCTAGGCTAATCCCAGTGGTTTACTGTCTGTATACTAGTAGATGGACTAAATGCTATCTGACTAGACATGACAACACCACACAGCAGTGAATAAATTAATAACTAGATTATTTCTCATTTTGGTATTCCTTTATGGATTGAGTCAGACCAAGGAACTCATTTTATAACAGAAATAAACTATGTGCTTGCAAAAACTTTGGGGTACTCATTAAAATTTCATGCCCTGTACCATCCCCAATCCTCAGGGCAAATAGAACATAAAAATCTAGACGTCAAAAGGACTTTAGTGGCTTCCCTGGTGGCGCAGTGGTTGAGAGTCCGCCTGCCGATGCAAGGGACACGGGTTCGTGCCCCAGTCCGGGAAGATCCCACATGCCGCGGAGCGGCTGGGCCCGTGAGCCGTGGCCGCTGGGCCTACGCGTCTGGAGCCTGTGCTCTGCAGCGGGAGAGGCAAAAGGACTTTAGGAAAAGTCTATCAAGAAACTGGACTTAATGGCCAGAAGCACTACCTCTGGCCCTTATAAAAATCCAGAATACTCCAAATAGAAGGTGTGGATTAACCCCTTTTGAAATAGTGTTTGGTCACCCTGTGCCTACTGACGTCTCTAAACCTCCCATTTCTGGATTGAGTGAACACTATAAGGACTTAAGTGAACAATATGATACTATGACTAGCCATATACAGGAACTAACTAGTATACTTGGGGGATATTATCGACAGTAAAAAGGGCATGGAATGCACTGACTTGCTATCCCCTTTGACCAGGAGATTGGGTATACATCAAGGTTTTTAGAAGAAAGCATGCATTGTCATCTTGCTGGGAAGGCCCTTACAAACTGCTGAACACTTACACTGCCATCAAAATAAAGGAAAAATCCTCCTGGATTCATGTGAGCGCTGCCAGCTTTGACCCAGATCAGCAGCACTCCCAGGACAACTGGAAGACCATTCCTAAGGTGACCTTAAACTAAGGATTTCCAGGACCAATTTCCAGGTCCCAGAAGCAGACAAAATCATGAAGTAGACAGTTTTTCCCAAGATCACAGATCAAGAAACTTCCTTCTACCTATTTTCTCCCCTATTGCATCTCCCTAGTCCCAGATGAAAAGAAAAAAAAGTGCTTCCTTGTAACAAAGCCCTCCCTTTCTTTAGCCATTTATTAAAAGGCTGACTGGAGGGGCTTCCCTGGTGGCGCAGTGGTTGGGAGTCCGCCTGCCGATGCAGGGGACACGGGTTCGTGCCCTGGTCTGGGAGGATCCCACGTCCTCTCATCCCACAGTGAGAGGCCCCCGTACTGCAAAAAAAAACAACAAAAAAAACCCCTTTGGCTTCTTTGTTCATAAACTAGCGCCACATAAACACACTAGACCAGATATTATAGAAAACTGGCTTGTATACACAAGTCTAAGTTCTTTTCAGTACTAAGATCCTTTTTCTTAGGCTTTGGAACTTATGAGTTGGAAAAGGCAGTTCTAAATCTTTCCATAGTAACAGAACAAGAGTTCAATATTGGTATGCAAATGTCAGAAGCCTTTCAGTCAAAAGTTAGTAGCCTCTGCTGGACTTGAAAATCTTCTTGCCCTGGACACACTGACAGCCCAAGAAAGAGGAGCTTGTGCCATCACTGATGAAGCATGCTGCTTCTATGTAAATCACCTGGGACAAATAGTGTCTAATCTGCACCTTTTGAAGACAAGATAAACACCCTCCATCAGATAAACGAGGCTCAGCCATTCTATTGGACTGACCTATTCCCAGGGATGGGAGACTGATTTAATGGGATATGGGGAAGTGTGCTTAGATGTGTTATTTTCTGTTTATTCATCCTCATTCTAATCTATGTTCTTCTCTCCCTTTGCAGATCCCTTGCCACTCTGCTGCTAACCCAATTCTTCTCTCCACAGCCACTAACTCAGAGTTTATGTGAAACTTCTAGGGAAGTTTCAGACAGGGGAATGAAGGAGTTCAGAGCATATCACCCCAAAATATGTCACTTTGGCATATTGAATATTTTCAGTTAAAGGCATCTGAGAAACAGCTGGTGCTAGAAGGGCACTCTGACCTTCCTTTTTCTTCCTGAAGGAGATAAAATTCCCACGTAAAAGATGCCCTCCCTACATCAGGAGGAAGAAAAATATTTTTATCACCAGAGATGGGAAATTGGACCAAAAAATCCATACAAACAAACCTTGTTAAACTAACCCTTATCTTCCTAGTCATTTCTCCACAATTTACTACCCCTAACCAAACCTCTTTGTCTTACTTGTTTCTTTTTCTAAAAGGTAGAAAAGCTTTCTGCGCTGGTCACTTCCTCAGGTCTTCATTCTCTTGTGAAGGTTCCCATGTACATGTTAAAAAAAAAAAAACCCTAAAAACCACTTCTATGCTTTTCTCCTGTTAACCTGTCTTACGTCAATTTAATTCTTATGCCCAGCTGGAGACCCAAAGAGAGTAGAGGAGAATTTTCCCTTGCCTACAATGGTAAATCATTTTCTTTCTGCTAACATTCTAATGTCATGGGGGATCACACTCCCAAACCCTTGGATTATTCTTAAATTCACTCCTTTGAGATACATACAAAATTCTCACGTTTTGCTCTCTGGCCCCTTTAGAAACTTACGCTCACACGATGTCAACCTCATTAGAGCTGTTTACAGAATTTAACCAAATAAGTGTAACATGTCAGGGACAGTACAAAACCCATTAGAGGAGGCTCTTTTAAAACCTTGGCATAAGGACCCAAACGGAATACACGGATAAGGAGAGGCGACCATGGGCACTTCCAAGGTGGAGTCAATCACCTGTCAGGAATGGGACGTGAAGTGACTTCCGGTCCGGCCAGAGTGAATTTCTTCTAGCGAAACCTGAATAACCGGCTTCCCACCTGGACGCTGCAGGCCGGAACGGGCGGACAGCTTCCCCCGCCTCCAGGTGGAGACACCGCTGTCCGTCCGCAGTCACGGAGGTAGCGGACCGACGGGCGGTGCCTGCGCGCTGGGAGGGGCGGGCACAGGACCCACTTCCGGGGCGGGTACAGGGCCCATTTCCGGGGCGGGGAACAGCGCATGCGTGGGGGGGGGGGGGGGGGGGTCGGACTTCGTCCACTTTTCCGGCGAGGTGAACGCGGAAGAGCGGGAGCTGAGGATTTGCGACTACTCAGATTGTGGCGCGGCGACTGCTGCAAGATGGAGGTGGGCTTGGCGGCCGAAGATGGTCGGGATGGTCCCCGGGAGCGGCGAGGCTTGGGTGAAGCCGAGAGGCCGCAGCAGAACCACGAAGTGCGGCCTCAGTCCGGGGCAGACCGGTTACCAAAACATTCCTACTGGTTGGATCTCTGGCTCTTCGTCCTCTTAGACGTGGTGTTGTTTTTCTTCGTGTATTTTTTGCCCTGGTGAGTACTCTTAACGCAGCGTTGAAATGGTAAGGGGCTTAGAGACCATCTACCCCAGTTTGGGGAGGTGGGTGCGGGAGAGGCGAGGAAATTGCATTACGGAAAGTTACGGCCTGTCCACCATCATCCAGCTGGCGAGTGGTAGGATAGGGTAGGCGCGGGAGTGGAACGAAGACCAGAGTGAAAATGTCCTTCCTTGGCACCTCAGTTGAGGGTGTTCAGATGAGGTGTAGAGGAAACTTGGCTTCATAATTTTTTTGTTCTATGTTGGGAGGAAACCGGCTGGGTTTGAGTTCCTGCACTACCACGAAGAAACTGGAGACGTTATTTGGCTTTTTGGAGCTTTATATTCACATTTACCATTTGGGACCAATAGTAACCAGGTCATAGGGGTGTGGTGTGGCGTGGTGTTTTAGATTAATCGCCAACTTATCTAAAAGCGATTTATTTGCATATTGCCTGGCAGCAGTCAGCGCTCCGCTAAAGCTACTGTTAACTGTACGACGGTTTGACCGTGAGCAGGCCGTGCACGGTTATCTCACATGGGTCCAGAACTGGACTCTTGACTTCGTACTCAGATGACCTTACTTTTCAGTGTCCCCATTTCAGTAAATGTTAACTTTATTCACTCACTTCACCTCCCGGAAGCCTGGGTCTCATTTTCTGATTTCCCGCTTTGCTTTATATACACACCCGCACACTCCAAAACACCAACTGATGAGTCACAAAACTCTAGATTCCACTTGGAAAATCCATGGTCTCCATTTTCATTGCCACCCCCTCTGAGAAGACAGTTTTGGCAGAGGATAAAGGAAGGGGACTTAGAGAAGGGGCTTGGGGGAGCAGAACAAGAAGGAGGATACAGGACTGAGATGATACAAGGGACAAGTTCAGGGGAGGAGCAGTGAGCTGAAGGAGGAAAAGCGGTGCAGCTCATTTAGTCATTAAACAGCTCCTTTGGACTTCGGAGCTAATCCTTTATGCACTGTAAGTTAATTTCTCTCAGCCATCATGCTTATTGAATTTGCGGTAATTATGTCTTCTTCTCTCACCCCCAGCCCCCAATTTTGGCAAAAATTTGGGCATAAACTCACTGTTGGTGAGGCCCCATTGTCTCTGATTCCTTGGATTTCTTGAATGGTGTGGCCGAGGGTTCAGTGGGACCAATGGAAGATGGGTGTTTCTGTAAAATCCTCTGTCAAGTCATTTGTAAAGGAGAATCTTTCCACCCACTCCTCCTGATATTTGGTAGAGTGATACTTCAAATGCAGTGTTTTTTTGTTTGTTTTTGTTTTTTTTAATGATCTGAATTTTCAGCTCTGGATAGAAAATGGAAGACTTATAAAGAATAGTCAGGCCTTTTTTTGCTCATATCAATATGAAAATCATTTAGGAATAGGCAAATGACTAAGACAATCAAAGTTTTCAAAAGTTGGCATAAAGTATTTAAAGGGAAAGAAAAAGGAAACATTGTTGACAATTATTTGGTTTTTACAGAATGGTTTGCCTGATACCTAAATTAAGAATTTTGGCTCCTGGAGTGGATCCTGAAAATGACTACAAACTTCTAGAAGAAAGAAGACAGGATTGTGCACCAGAAGAATTTCAGACTCTAAGGGACCTTCATTTCATTTTACACATTCTGTTATTCTTTGCGGGAACTATATTAAATGGGTAATGATCTCAGCCATTCATAGCTAAGTTCTTAAAACTCGGCTCTGATTCACATTTTAAAACTTTTTACAGATTATTTGGTGGCTTTACAGGGGCTGAACATAAAAAGTATTTATACATTAAGATTTATTATACTCATTAGGAAATAGATTGTTTTTCCTTTAACATTTTAAGGGTTGGCCAAGGTTTAGTATGATGCAGATAATATGGTGAAATAATAAGGTGAAATATTTAGAAATAAATTATTCAAAAGCAAGGGAAGAATTTTGAAAAAAGGAGTTAAAAGCTATACAGAAAATGCAGGCCCACAATATATTTGCTGTAAGTGCCAGTTTAATTTTTAGATTAAGTGGACCTCTGTTATGGTTGCTAGGTTGGTACAATCTTAGAGAAAGTATATAGTATCCAGTAATGAAAGGCTAGAGTGCATGGGGTCTTACCTGGATCCTTCCCCTCACTTTTAAGCTCTTGAACTCTGTAAAGTAGGACTGTGTGTTTCAAACCTAATTTTTATTGTGGTTGCATTAAGAATGTTTGTGGCCAAAACATGTTTATTATAATGTCTGTAACTTACTTTAATACTCCAGCAAAGTCACCATATTTACTCTTTGAGCAAATGTTTGAGCACTTACTGTGGGCCAGGTACCACACTGAACGAAACAGACAAAAATACTTGCCTTTATGGAGCTTACGTTCTTTTTTATCTAAGTATGTTAACAAGAATTTATTTCCCAGGAGTGATCAGCTAGTATTTAGTCAAAAAGGTCACATTCCCAAAGCAGCTACTATAAGCCCTTCAGAAGCTATTCCTATTATATAACAGATGTTAGAAATGGGCTCTTGTCCTTGAAATTGGTGACATTTTATATATTGGAATTGCCTAAATATTTTTCCCGTCCCTTAGAAGCAGGGCATAGATCTGGTAAACTCTACATCCTCTGTTCTTTAGAATGGCATTTAGGGTTAGTGTGAAATCTGGGATTGATTTTGCAGGGTTTTAGCCTAATGCTGACTATAAGTTTAACAATTACGCCTTCAGAGAACCTAACAAACCTGCCTGAGGAGAACTTTTTAGGCAAGGTTGAAGCATCTAGAGAAACAGAACTGGGATGTCATTGAGGGTACCAAACAGATTGTATGAATTGTTTTGTGCTACTTGCTAGTAATTTTGTCCAATAAATGTTGATTATACAGGTAAATTGGGTCTGATTTCCTTTCATTTTAACAGATTACTTGTGTGTTAGGTCACACACAAAGATTTATAATCCATACTACCTTTCTGAGCCTAGAATCAGCCTTCTACCACAACTATTGAATATTCTGAAAATTTCTAGTACAGGGAAGATACTACTAAGAAGAAAGATCGTAGTATTGTGACATGACTGTAAATGGTATCCAAAATGGTGGCAGTATGAGGTTTGAATATTTCCTACAGATGAAATTGTGCCTACCACTGAACTGTGCCATCTCAGGGTAACATAGTATACTTGAAGGCTTTTAACTGGGTAAATGGGACACCAAGAAGAATTGGCAAACTTGCTGTGATAAAAATAGAGACATCAAAAGTATTTACATCAATGTGACTTTAGTCTGATAAATTCCTTTGTAAATTTCATATAAGTGAAATGATTGTTTTAATAACCATTTGAAATCAACTGGCCAATGAGCAATTGTGAGGAAGTCTTTAGAGTTCTGTTAACCTGAAAATTTTAGGATGTGAAGTGCTCCATAGACCTAGTCCCTAAATGTAATGGGAATACATTCAGAGACTACAGAATATTTAGTAAGGGCATTTAACGTAGAGGTAATTATGCTCTAGGAAAAGGGTCATCAAACTACACTAATGTTTGTGGCCAAAACATGTTTATTATAATGTCTGTAACTTACTTTAATACTCCAGCAAAGTATTGCCTCTTTAAAGGCCTGTGAGCCAAGAATGATTTTTAACATCTTAAAATGATTGAAAAAAGTCAAGACTATTTCATGATGTGAAAATGATGTGAAATCCAAGTTTCAATGCTTACAAAGTTTTACTGGAACACAGACATGCCCATTCATTTGCATACTGTTATGTAAATGTTACCTTACAGCTGTTTTCACACTACAGTGGCAGAGTTGAGTAACAGAGATCCTATGGTCCACAACGCCTAAATTATTTACTATCTGGGTCTTTAAAGAAAGTTTGCCAACTCCTGTGGGAACGCTCCTTTAGGCCTTGAGGGGGTTGAACTCTTAGGAGTCTCCTGTGATAAATATTTTGATCAGTGATATTCCAAGTTCACCCCTAAACTTTAAATTGACTTACATTTCCCATAAAATATATAATTCACAGAGGTGAAAGGAAGCCACAGTTTATGAATGCAAAGAAAAGTCCCAACCATATTAAATTAAAAATCAGTTTATCCCCCCCCAAAATTTTGAATCAGAAGAAACTGACTTCACACAAAGATACTCTGAAGTATTCTGAACATTACAATCGTTGGCTGTGTTATTTTAAAAGTTATAATAAGCTTATAACCAGAAGAAAACATCTATAAAAATAGACACCCTAGAAATAAAAAATTCACATGTGCACGATTAGTAAATACATATTCAATCTATATTTGGAGTGTTGAATCAACAAAAACAAATGGTCAGTTTCTAGTCTATTAGTACTATAACGATTCAGGAGGTTTCAACTGGACAGTACTTTAAAAAGAGCCCAAATTGGACGTTTCTATTTGATATTTGCAACTCAATTGTGAGTTGAATCCCATACAAATCTATGAGATTGTTTATAAGTATCAAAATCAGTTTAAATGTTTCAATTAATACATTTTCAACTGGACAAAACAACTACACAAAGTTTTTGAAAGCTATTAAAAATACTTGAAGCTCATTTTTCTAGTATTTTACAATGTTATAAAAGCAGTAATTAAATACAGTGACATTTCA